ATATATATATATATATATATATATATATATATATATATATATATATATATATATATATATATATATATATACACATTTATAAATGCATATAGTTTGTAACTTATATACCAACAATGTATTATATAAAAATATACAATATTAATACATAATTTATAATACATAATGTACAATACATAACAGTATAATAATATATTAAAAAGTTTAGTAGATTTATCTTACAAATAAAATACAAAAGTTATGCTCTATTTCCCCTTGAACATTAGACGATGCTGTGGAAACCTGTGATGCTTGTTTAGTTATTGGTACATCATCAGTTGTGTATCCTGCGGCAATGTTTGCGCCGCAAGTGGCGGAACGCGGTGTTCCAGTTGCCGAATTTAACTTAGAAACAACTCCCGCCACAAGACACTTCAAGTATGTTAAATTCAAACTCGTTTAGAACTATATAGAAAATATATCGGCTGCAAAATATTTTTGTCAAGTAAATATAAATTGACATGCAAATTGTTCATTCCCAATCGTCAAACTGTTCTACAGTTATTGCTGACTTTTTTTTATCTGTAACAAAGTAATAATCATTGTAACAAAGTAATAATCATGTTTGTATTTAAGGTACCACTTTGAAGGTCCCTGTACAATTACAGTGGTGGAAGCTTTAGAACCTTGAATCTTAGGTACTTATTATGTACACATTTCTTACCTTGTACCAAACATACTTCAGTGTTAAGTCCAAGTTTATTTAAATATTTTAACCATAATCGTTGCTTTGTCGAAAGTACGTCATTAGGGCCTTTTACCTCTACAATTTTGTGCTTCAAGAAATAGATTATGTTTAGTAAATTAAAATAGTTTTAGGTGTACATATGTGAAAATATATTTTCAGAAAACCAGTTGATAAGTATTCACCTGTTTTGTATCATAATTCCATACAATTAAATCAGGAAATCCAGCTGTCCAAAGGTTATAATTTTCAACTATTCTTCTACAAATGCCTATAACACCTTGAACCCCCAAACAATGGACAATTTCCTGAAACCAGAAATTATTTTCCGTGATGCACGAATATATTTTATAAAATGTATAGAAAAAGAATATAGTAAATAAGTTATGAGCATGATTCTTATAAGGTACAATACTATAAGTTATTTCCGATGCTGAGACTTCATAAGATATCATATTTACTCTACATATTGTTTTTAATGATATTAAAAAAATATATACTTTCATATGTTCACTGTGCTGAAGTAAATTAGTTGGCATTAAAGACTGATATGAATAAAACATTTTAAATCTGTCTTCCATCCAACAGCTTAAAGACTCTTCATTATAATTATTAAGTATTGAGTTTAGTGTCATGTTTATGCTGTCTTTCCTATTTTCATAGAAATATTTGGTATACAAATCAGCTGGAGCATCATCATAAGGACTCGTAAAAGTTCCAGGAATGTGTTTATTATACAGTTCTTCCCACAATAAAGTAGTGAATAAAAGAATTGGTAAATTCCCTTCGCAATGTAATCCGTTTGAAAAATTTTGTTTTGTGTAGTAATATAAAGCCAAAGCTTCTACAGATCCATAACTTTGACTTGTATTATTATTTTCTATGCACCATATGCTCTTACTTCCAGGAACATTTCTCATACTAAAACAAAAAATATTGAATTATGATACACAATTTTCGTAATTACATTTGTACACAAAAAGAAGCTCCTTCCAAATTTTTGTAAATGTATAGTGTTTGTTTCGTTTATTAAATATGTGAATCATATTGATACAAGTTGATTTACCTTGGACTTGTTGAAGCATAAATAGTATTAAATGTAGGAGTAAATGTTGATAATTGATCAATATGATAATCTATCATCTCACTAATATTTTTTTTTGTATCAGGTTGTATTCCCTTTTTCTTCTTTTGAATTTTCTTTGCTCTTCCTATAAGGTCTTCAATGTCTACTTGTGATAAATGTTCATTATTTAAGGCCTTCATTATTATCAATGCTGTAGATTCTACATCTTTCTGATGATGCATTGTAATAAGAGCTAATTCACAATACCACTTTCCTTTTCGTGTATGCATATGACAATCCTGTTCTAACAAAAACTTTAAGATTTCTACAGCACGTGTCTTGTTTTCACATTTTTTAAATGCATCTACACTTTTTGAAAGTATTTTTAACCATACATATCCAGGCATAAAACGTCTTACATGCATAGGAATTTTGGAATTTTTCAGTCTGCAATTGATAAAATTTATAAATAGAATATTGAAAAATGTACATAGTACGTTATACACTTACTACCTTAAAAATTCATCTTTTAATACACTTGGCAGAGTTTCCATTGCAAAATTTCCATTGGTTCGTACATCTGCCCAATTTTTATTTTCAATTGATTTTAATGTTGCAGACAATATAGATTTAACATTCACGTAACTGTGAATGAAAATAAATTGAAATAAATTAAACTCATTAAAAGTTATGGAAACTCAACTAAAATGAAATATAGATAGCTTACCTTAACAAATGATATCGATTTGAAAATATTGGAAAATGATTTTTAGGTACGTTGGGATATATTACTTTTCCTAAATAAATATTACCTAGCCTAAAGTATGTATCTGCTGTACTCATCGCTGAATCTTCATTTGGTAATAGTAAAGTCATTATTGTGTCTATAATATGCCATGTTCTGTCTGTTATACATACACAATAGTCCAATACATTAAAAATACAATCAAACAGAGAACTGCATGGACTTTTCATTCCATGAAATAAAGGTTTCTTCTTTGATAATTGTAACAATTTGTCTACAATAATTTCTTTTTTTCCCTTGAAATCTATCTTCATACTTTTACCAACTTGACGAAGCTCGTCAACATGTAATAATTCCAATATAACAGGTAAATCATCAGTTTTTACATCAAATGTACAAATAAATTGTGACTCGAGAATATTAAAGATATCTTTTAAATTTGCGGATATATCTGGATAATTTATATCACTTTTGCGGTGCCATCCTCTTTTCCTCTTTATCATACGGACTAACAACATTTGTGCTTTTTCAGGAAGGGTAAGAATGGAATATATAAAATCCAGTTCACCTTTCTCAAAGTAACCGCAATTAAAAGGATTGGATAAGACGGTAAGAATAGAACCAATTAAAATTGTTGCATTGAGATCATTAGACAAATTTACATTGCTTAACTCATATCTTACTGAATCTTTGATATTTGTTCGATTATAACTATATTCAAATGTATTTTTAGAATATATTTCTTCCAAATTAAAATTATTCAGTGCAATAGTCCCTTGCTTGGCTAAGTTCATGTTTTCAATAACTTCACGTATAATATTAGTATCCATAAAACGATCTAATAATCTTTCATGTCTAATTTTTTTTGGCGATTTATTAGATGATACTTCTGGAGAATGTTTTAATTTCCTAGGAGTGTAAGTATTAGATTTTATTATTGGAGAGTTTTCTTTGTCAGTGAGACTTATGTCATTGCTACTTGATGCCATTGTATTATCAACATTTGAATTTTGTAGTTCATTTATAAATGATATTCCATAATCTTCATCTTCATGCATTAATTTAATGTTTTGATATGATGTATCTTTATATGGTTGGTCCATTTCTAATGGATAAAATGATTCTGCCTCGTTGACTCTTTCATATATTATTGTGCACTCTGGTGTTGTTTCATTAATTTGTGATAATAAAACATCCTTTTCCACATTTATATATGATTCATCATTATTTAAAATGCTATTATTTTGAGATATTATTTCTGCATCTTTATCATCATTAAAGTGGGACACACTGATATTTGAATGTATAACTGTACACTGTGATGTTTGTTTGTTAATCTGTGATAATAAAATATTCTCTTCCAAATTTCTTTTTACATTTATATATGATCCTTCATTATTTAAAATGCTATTGTTTTGAGATACTGTTTTTATATTTTTATCATCATGAAAGTACTGGACATTGGACTTGGAACTTTTCATTGTACGTTTTGATATAGCTTTAAGTTTTGTGTTGTTCTTTGATGATGAAGTTTGTTTTGAACTTTTTCGTTTTATTTTCTATAAACAAATAAATAATATACTTACAAATAAAAAGTGTCACAAAAAATTATAAACATATAATAAAAAAAGAAAATAATATAATCAGAAAACTAACTTACATTTTGTGTACTAGGGGGAAGTTTAACATTTTCTTTAACTTTTTTCTGTGTTGATTTATATGTTACTGGAAAAAACTCATCAATACGTTTCTGCTTCAACATTCTTTCTTGAAATGAAACAAAATTATTTTATAGAGACAAAAAAATATTATAAAATAATTAACTTACTTTGAAATACTTTTTCTATAGAGCACACACTGTTTTGTCCTTAATTTTCGTCATATTCAAGAAAGATTGATATTCTTCATTATACATATTCTTCACAAGAAACATTTGTATTTGCAACACAAGATGTTTTCGTCCATCTCATGCATACATGGAGCATAATGAACAAACTCTCATTGATTGTAAAATACTATGTAAAATAATTCAATGACTCAAAGAAGTCTTTTGTAAACTTACCACAGAGAGCGCTGCAAAATGATGTACTAAGAGAAAGAAAGACAGAGACAGAGAGAGACAGAGAGAGAGAAAGATCAACGTATATACTTACAAAATATAGTCATCCATGATGTTAAATAAATATAACCTACAAACGTGAAAGAATACGTTTAGAAGCAAATTACGAATAATTTGAAATGTTTTTAAAATATGTAAAATCTCCTTAGATAATACGAATGACTACGTTAATAAAACTTTCTAGATAATAACGTATATGAATTTAAAATAAATCATCGTTTGCTTTTAATTTAGCAAAAATTTGCAGAATTAACAATAAAGCTTGAATGCATTGATACACACATAAAAAAACAATTAATATAAACACGTGCTTTCGATTAGTTAGTATTAAGTACAAAACTATTTTATTTTATTAGGTAGGATATCCTAAGGAAAATTATTTTTTTTCTTACGCGATGTAATCAGAATTTATTTTCAGCAGAAATATCTGCTCTTTTGTTTGTTTGTCCAGTCTATGTTCGTCGTGAATATTTCCTTTTAACAGTATGATTCTAAATGCAATTATAAACCATCCTTTTGAGACAAATATATCGTTTTGCATGAAACGAAAACTTGTATACCTTTTGTTGCTATATAGCACATAAAGTGTACAATATAATACAAGTAAAATTAGCAAATAAAACAGACGAAGGTGTATCTTGAGCTGGTAACATAAAGTACGCAGAGAATATGTATATCGCATAGTAAGTTCTGCCCTGACAAACTATCCTTTCCTTCTTTGTATACGTATATATGTATATATGTATATTGTACATATATATATATATGTACAACAATGGGATTGTTAATAGTTTTGCCAATTTGTCAGAGTTACATAATTAGAATACATTCAAGAGTCAAATTGCAACCCGTAGATTGACATATATACATTCAGTTAGTTACATTATCTAATAGATTCAAATGTTAATCACATTAATTACGGATATTAATACTAAACAATAGTTGAGTTTAGATTTCTAGGCATAATTTGTAGGAAACATAACTCATCTACCTGATAACATCTCTACCTCTCTATTAATACTGTAACGTAAAGACATTGTAAGCAGTCTCGAGTTTGCATCTCAATATAATTCTTGGCTGCTAAAATGAGCTTTGGCCTTGTCGATTGTTAATTACAGAAAAGTGCACATTAGAGAGAGTCACAAGCATGAGTCAGAGAAGCGAACAAAATTTAGGAATGTGAATTTGTCTATCAAGCTGCCTACGGTTCATAAACAATAAATATAATTCATGTTTCAAATATTTTATTTAGACCAAATTAAATTTGATACATGCATTTCAGCGAAAGGTGTTATCAGGGGACGAGAGAGTAAATGATGTGTGTGCATCGAAGAACAAATTAAAGGGTCGTCTAGATCAAACATTCTACATACATAGAACTTGATATTTTCCCCCTTACGTTCTCCGACCATACAATCTCGAGAAAAATTCTCAAATACTCTCGCCAAACTTTCATTCGAATCAGAGCTTTGGTTGGAGCGTTTTTTTCATTTTCTTTCTTTTTTTCCTCTCTCTTTCCAATTATACCTTCCTGTCGCACAGCGACATAGAAGTTCTACCGTATTCACAGAATAAAATACACGTATAGTAGATACACCGCATGTCGACACTCGTCGATATTATCGTAAAAGTTTTCTTAAC